CTCTCCGTTGCATTTCCGGGAATTATACGAAGCCACAGTTTACGACAAATTAAAGAGTTAATCACAACAGTTATAGAAAGAGGAAGTGCGTAAAGTATGACAAAAACATTGCTGTGAAAGATCTTGAGGACGCGATAAGTTTCCTTAAAAGCTGGATCGTTTGGATCTTCCCAGGGCCAAACTTGTAGACATTGGTAAACGTTTTGAGATGAATTAAACTGGACTTGAAACAACATAGGATATGGCAGCATTAACACAAAAGACAGGATCCGGATGGTGCCTGACAAGATTTTCGGCTTTCGGAAGATCTTTTCTCTTAAAGAATAGAGTACTGCGTAAAATCTGTCGAATGAAATGAGCACCATTGCTAGGACAGTCGCCCCTATTGAAACTGGGATGAGGTAACCCACAGCTTTGCATGTTATGTTACCCAGCATTCCCCCAATCCAGGAGACTTCTCGGTAGTAGTAGTTCACTTGGTACGGCATCACTGAAAGTTAAAAGCAGATCTGCAACGGCCATGTTGGCAATGAAGAGGTTTGTGACTCTGGTAGATTGAGAGGACTTCTTCAACACCACGAACAGGCCAAGGGTGTTGCCCAATAAAGCAATAATGAAAATCATTGCATACGCTGTCGTCATGCCAATCTTGATATTTGTGGGAATACTGAACGGCGCCGGCGGTGGAAAGGTGATGTTTGTTGCTAGGAAAGAAATCAAGAACTATATTGCTTTATCGTTATAAAGGGTTGTTTCCTCAGCATAAACATTAAAATGTGTTACAACACTACAATGAACAACAGCAGATGTAGAAGAACTTTAACACCATTCTCTTACTTACTTCGATGTTACCTTCAGAAAAGAAAGGAGAGGATAACGTTTGCTTGTTTAACTAGATCATTATCTGTCAATGTCTGGAACGTTACTTTCTTTAATTAGCAACGGGGAACGTGCTTGGCCGAGCGGTCAGCACGTCGGACTCGTAATCCAGCGGTCCCGGTTTCGAATACCGTCTGACCACTAGCTACTTGGATGTTTTTCACGGTGGCCCCGAGTTCAAATCCTCGGCCACACTTGAAAATAACCAACTGGTTTACCTCCGGCTAGCTGGGATTCTTAGCAATGTTGTGTTCAATGAGAATCATTTGTTTCAGTTGTTTGCTCGGCCGTCAGCCTATGTGCTATAAACATTGCAAAGGGTAACTAAAGGTTATATTACATTATATTTTAGTATATACCACACAAGTGAATAGTACTTTTCGCGCACGCTGATTGGCTAACTCGGAGGTGATTAGCCAAGTACTATTCACCTACGAGCGCGCCGATTTTTTTGTCCGACCATTTGTCGTTATATTGTCACAAATAAAGTTACTCTTTGATCCGCTAATTATTCAGCTTGTGTGATATATACTAAAACAATTATTCACCTCAGTGTCGGTGAAAGTGGTGGATAATTATTATATATTATACTTATTGGAAGAGGAGGCACATACGAATAGGGCGCTTATTGACATAAGCGAGAGTCAAGGGGAGCGCCGGTTAGAAAGGGAGCACTTATTGGCCGGTTGCTGAATCGGATTATTTTGTTACATTTAAAGGTCTTTCACTCCTTACATTCTTGAAAACATTAGTCTACGTTCACTCCGTACCGTACATCAGATTTATTGATATTCTGAACAGCACAATCTTTTTTGTTTTTTCTTTTGTTAAAAAAAAATAATAATAATACCCCTTGGCGTTAGAAAAATCAACCCATCTTTTTGCTGCTGATATGATTTGCTTCTCTTTAAAACGTAATTACTTAAATTTCGTTGCAATGACACTTTCAAAATACTAAAATTTTGAGCTTGGACATGAAAGGGTGAAATGTAATAACAGATTAATACCATTCACTCCTGTTGCAGAAGTGTCGTTTGTCGTATTTATGGAAGCTGGCATCTTTCTGATTCTGAATAACACAAAGAGAATGGATCAGAATCAAAAAACATTTAAGAATTAAATTGTTTCTGGTATCTATCTTATACATGTGTCTAAAAACTACTGATGAATGTATTTCTCCAAATGAACTTGCATTCACAAAAATGGTGCGAGCCACCCATTAAAGTGCACTATACATAACGTAAACACTGTCCCTTTCATGTTACAAGAGGATTCTTTAGAAATCCTTTCACAGAAGTCCTTAAACCTTTCGTATTGCAGGTCTCATGATTTCTAAACATATTATCTATTCTCATTTCAACTTTGATTTCTCGCTGTTTAAATCCAGTAGAAAGCTACTTCCATGAATTTTCCCAGCACAGGCGTATCTTGCCACAGATTCACAGAGGACTTAGTGTCTTCTAAAACATCAAAAACGAGATACAGAGTCTTGTCAGTTCTAAACATTGAGAAAAGAGTTGACAGTACATATACGTCGCCACACAGCAGAGCATGGAATTGTGTGTGGAAATTTGAATTTGCTTTTGATCAAACATTGTGTCGAGTTGTAGATACATTCCTCTCTCAACTGAAATTATGACTAACTGAGAAATGAAATCCTAAACGTCTATCCTAATTAAGCTCCGATACCCAAACTACAGTCACCGTTGTGTTTTTCATTGTTTAAACTTGATGAAATCTAAATGCATTTTGCGTTAAAGCCTACTTGAGAATTGTCTTCTAAGCAAAATACTTTTAATAAGCTATTCTATGGTTCACGTTAATCAGTTTCTACCACTCGGTAACTGCTCAGATGAGAACACACTGGCTAAAACTGCAGGGCTAATCATTATTTTCCTGGCACATTTCTTCAAACAGCAAGTCCTTGGAGGTAAAGAAGGAGGAAGTACCTCCAGGAACTGTGTAGGTGCAGGGAGGACCATCATAGAATGTAAAGCACCAAAGAAATACTACCCTGATAACCTGTTTTTGTCTAAACGATATACTGATATATATTCATTCGAACATTTTTCTTTTATGTTCTTCTTGTTCAGATTACTGCTTAGTTCAGTGTGGGACTATATACTTAACAGTGACGCCACCTTGCCACACTTCTACTTTACAGATTAAAGATCAAAAGAGGTATGTCAATGAACCACTGTAATATATATTCAGTATGCCCAGTCAAGTTCGTAGACATGGGGAAACTCAGGCTCGCTACAGATTAAACTACTGTAAACAGACAAGATTAAAGCATCCTGCCCTAGATCAAAACGCATTTGCAATGGCGAGACGGGACTAGAACCCTGAGCTTTACATTGGAGTCATACGCACCAATCATTAGGCCACCGCGCTCCATTTTTGACTCACTATCACAGTAAAAAAAAAAAAAACTTTCGACAATGCTGTTGCTCATAACAAGAGTTATTGACCTATAGGACGCATACAAGGTCAAAAAATAAATCTAAGCGATCAACGTTCATATTTTAAAGAGGTTGTACAGGTCCTACTTCTAAAATACCAAAACAAATCAGTGTTACAAAAAATTCCATTTTTCTCGCCGGTAATTTTGTTTCCCTCAGCTGCTAAAGCTATTATAATATAGTAATATAGTAATATAGTAAACCCTCCTTCACTTTCCATCTTATGGCATATTATACTCTTTATAAAACTAAATCCTTTTGCTTCATAAATGACTCTAAAGTGAGAACTCCTGAAGCCACTTGATTTGTTCTTCTTGGACAAGTCAGGCTTGGTCAGCTGTTTTGGCAATTTAGCGGGCAGTTGAAACGACGTAGACATGGCCACCAGCCGGCAAGCGTAGAAGCCAGCTCTCTGCGAAATTTGTCACTCATCAGGATACAAATGCAAGGGTTTATTGCGCTATTGGCATGCCCGAGCCAGATGAAGAATAATTCCACTTCAAGGGGTAACATGCCCTTTACGTATAGATCAGGTCGTACGAACTAAAAGTAGTGATTGACATAATTCGGGAACCAACACAACGCAAATGCGACGACAATGACGATCACCAGCAGTCTCACAACTTTGCGTTTCGACTTTTCAGCTGCAGCGCGATTACTATCTGTTGCATTTCCGGGAATTATACGACGCCACATTTTACGACAAATTAAGAAATAAATGACGATAATTATAGAAAAAGGAGGCCCGTAAAGCATGACAAAAACAATGCTGTGAAAGATCTTGAGGACGAGACGAGTTTCTTTAAATGTTGGATCGTTTGGATCTTCCCAGGGCCAAACTTGTAGACATTGGTAAACGTTTTGAGATGAATTAAACTGGACTTGAAACAACATAGGATATGGCAGCAGTAACACAAAAGACAGGATCCAAATGGTGCCTGACAAGATTTTCGGCTTTCGGAAGATCTTTTCTCTTAAAGGATAGAATACTTCGTAAAATCTATCGATTGAGATGAGCATCATTGTCAGTACAGTCGCCGCTATTGAGACTGGAATTACGTAGAACAAAGCCTTGCATGTTATGTTACCCAGTATTCCTCCAATCCATTTATTTAAACGGTACAAAAAAGCCACTTAGAATGGCATTTCTGTTACAGTTAACAAGAGATCTGCAACGGCCATGATAGTAATGAAGAGGTTTGTGACTCTATGATATTGAGAAGACTTCTTTAACACTACGAACAAACCAAGGGTGTTACCCAACAGAGCAATCATGAGGAAAATCACTGCATACGCAAACGTCCAGCGAATCGTTGCATCTGCTGGAAGAGCGAACCACGGGGTAGCGACTGTGGGGCTGTGTGAAATGTTTGTTCCTGTGGAGGCTGTGACGTCAAAACAAGAACTTATGTCCACATATGTTTTGTACATGTTCACCATTTTGAACCAGAATTGGAATTACGGACGCTTGATTGCCTAATTCCTAGTATATGTCCCTAAGTTTTTTCGTTTTCATTCGTTTGGTTCGAAAAATGTCGTCACAGCCTGACTAGTCCCAGTTCCTAATCCCCTGTGGTTTCCGACCCAACCGTACGTGAAATTGCACGTTTTTAGATGGCTGAAAAAACAACGATATCCATTTTTTGTTATTTCCATATCATGATCCCATGTAGATT